GCAAGGCAGCGTCGCCCAACAAATGTGTGCGACCCCAACAACTGTCGCGATGACGCTCATATTCTTGCCGCGAGCAATTCGCAAGAAGATGCAAGGAAAAAAATGCTAAGCACGCATTGATCCATGAAAAAGTGCGGAAATGGAAGACGGCAAAAGTCCTAGCAGAAGCAGACTTACTTCTTATACTCGCCAAAATGCTGCTTGGCGAGAATCGGCTCACGACCCTGTTCGCGCTCCTTCTGAGATACGGGGTAATTCTGACCACGATGTCGAAGTGCGACACAGATCATGCACAGAATGCAAAGCAGCAGGAGCAGAATCAGAAGGATCAGTAGCAACCACCACAGACGAGCCGATTTCGGTGCTAAAAAGAAATTTCTAACATAGTTCCCCAATTTTGGTAAAACAAGCTTTGTATGCCTCAATAAAGGCTATAGACTCCATTTAAGTGCAGAAGGAACCGGAAGCAGTAAAAAGTACTTCGCGTGAATTACCCTACCGTTCCCCGCAAATATTTGCTTACTCCACCTACTAAACCACTACTTGTCTACCACCTTCTGCTGATTTGAAGAAATAAAACACTGCACTTTTCTGGGATATGCTTCTTACGAACTCCGTGACAAGGATGGAAATGTGAAGAATAAACATTTGTAAATAGCCGACAGAAGTCCAGCAATTGCTTTCTATCTAAAATAACTTTAATACATGGTTCGGTGTTCCTTAATAAAAGATTATAGTGGATTAGCCAGTAGGTCGAAAAAGATAGCCTAGCGGAATTTGCAAGGCTACAAGAACCTATTGCATTTTTGAAGGCAACTCTTCAGCTGATTGAAATGTTACTATTTTAAAACATCCACTTTTGGTCAAGAAAATGAATCAAAGCTGATAGAGCTGGATAGGGGGGAAGATAAGAGTAAAGTCTACTAGATATGTCATAAAATTCCGCCAAAAAAGAAAACTCTTGGTATGAAAACTCTGCGCATCTGATCTATCCATAATACAGCCGAAGGCGATGATCTCAAACTCATACTTACAGGACGAAACTTAGCTAGAATTACTTTCTGGAAAAAAGCGCACTACTTCCAGCAAACTCTCATTTAACCACCAATATGACTATGCAGGACGGATTTGTCGTCCGTTGTGACTAGTTATCTTATCCCGAAAAAACTACACTATTTCTAATGCTAAAAATCAGGATGATCTTAGCAAACTCGTCCACGTGTGTGGTGTGAGGCTGTTCACTATGCGTGATCTTAGACAAAGACTAATACTCTTATAACCTCATCTTGCCTTTGTTTAAAGTAATTTACTAGGATTCCTTGGCTATGCCTGTCCCATAAAATGATTTTAAAAAATAGTATTAGCAGACATAATTTCAATCTCTACTCACATCTTCCCGTTGTTGTTATATAGCTCGACGGTGAATATGCTTCCCTTTCTTCTCCACTAGGATCTTTCTGCAATGCCGCAACTCGGACTTCATATCTTGTGCCAGGATTGAGATCGCCAACATGCACAG